ATCAATATGTGGAAAAGCTGATTGTGTTTACTTTTAATTCAACATCTTCTCTGTTACTTGTTTCCCCGAGTAGACTAGCCTACATGTAAGCAGCTTTCTCTACGGCAAAGGAGATTATAATGCTATTTTACCTGACGCTGATGTACAGAACTAACATTACTTTATTGAGATTATGCATCGGTGCTCTACTGCTATTCCTGCAGATCCCGGATGTGAAATGCCGAATTTTCTGCTAAATTTGAACCACCGTATTTGTGGAAGCAAATTTGTAAAGTGAAATAAAATGGACTGAAATTTGCCGGTCGAATACTATAGATCGTATTTTTAAAAACATTGAATATTTGGGAAGTGATTTCTGGAAGGTGAATATGCATTATTGAATTTTTAATATGAAAATGTGTGTGAAATATTTTGAATTGAAATATTCAGTTTAAAGGGGTCATCGGATGCAAAATTCACTTTTCAAGTTGTTTGAACATAAATGTATGTTGGAAGTGTGTGTACACATCCATCCTATAATTATCAAAATCCATCCAGTGTTATTTTTTTAAATCCATATTTTAAAATCCCCTTTCTCAAAGCAGGCTGTTCTGAGATTCCTGTCAGAATGACGTAGATCTGTACAGGCCCCTCCCACGATAGTTTGATTGACAGTAGTGTTTCAGCACAGACTGGACTGGTGTCTTACCTTAGCTCCGCCCTGAATGAGCTGTCATTAGTCCACCATTGTGTTGACTCCGGTGCAGGGGAAGACACGATGTCTCCGATTAAGCGATTGAGGTGTTCTGTTGTTGGATGTAATAATGAATATAGCAGTCGTCATTTACTCCCGACATCTGAGGCGCTGAAGACGCAGAGGATTAACGTTACTTTTGCTTTGAAGTGAATGCGCCACTCCCAATCTGCCTAAATGCATCTATGTTCGCTCGAATCATTCGTGTTCCAGCCTCATCTACAGAAGAAGTGAGTATAAGGGTTTTTTACGAATCTTTGCAAATCATCTTTCATAATAATGTGAAATTACCAATTACCGAGTTTCACGATGAATGCGGCTAAAGTAAACAGTCTCTGTGAGAGCAGCTTGGAAGAGAGGGGCGGGGCCAGCAGAGCTCATTAACATTTAAAGCAACATGGACTATAATGGCTTGATAAAAACAGAACTGATTTCGACAGGTTTAAAAAGGTATTTTTCTAACATTGAGAAATTTTAACCAAAGTATGTTATAGACTTTTAATTAAGACCCTAAAGAATCATATCAACTTGTGCAAAATGAGCATCTGATGACCCCTTTAAATAAACAACAGTTAAATTTCAGAACATTAAAATGCAAACACTGTTAATTCAATGCATTATTTTTTTCAGTTAGTGCAATTCAACATGCTTTTTTGTTTCAAAAACATGTGTCATTAATTTTCTTCCATACGTTTCTTTGTCCTCGCTGCTGCAGATGAAACAGTGTCATGATTTTTGTGTTCATCCACCAAACACATCATACAGATATAGCTATGGTCAGTACGGCAGTACATTTCCAGTAGTTTATCATGTCGAGGGCAGATCAGCTCTTGCAGTCGTCCAGTGGCGTCCATCAGATTGTGTTTTTGATCTCTGAAAAAATTCTCATGCTGTTCAAGGTGAGATTGACAGTAAGAGATACGACACTCCAGACACGATTTCACTGCTTTCTTTGCTTTAATTTCAGTTCAGAAGTCACACTGTACATCTCCAGATCCAGCGTGATGAACTGCAGGAGCAGGTGGAGGAACAGGAGAAGCTGGAAGTCTCGTCTTCTTCAGTTTCCCCGCCATTTCAGCAATCACCACATTTTTGCCTAAAACTGGTCTTGGTGTGAAGGACTGTTTGCATAAAGGGCATCTGTAGATTCCCATCTGATCCTCCTGATTCCAGCATCCTAAGATGCATCCATTACAATAATTGCGTCCACAGGGAATCATTCAGGAGATCCAGACACACTGGACATTTGAACTGGTCCACTGTAATACTGGCTTCTGTCATTTCACTGTATGAACCCACAGATAGAGAGACGTTATGCATTCCAGATCGACAGTTGTGTTCTTGTAAGAACTGGAGGGCTGATATATCTTGCTGAGAACGTGCTTGAGAAACTGTTTTTTTCTGTAGTCAGTGACTTACTGTAACTGAGTAGATTTTTTTTTAGATAACTAAATGATTAAAGATTGGTTGGCTGAAATCCGAACTATGATTATCTCTTAGCAAGATGCATCCTTACCGATTCCGTACTTTTGCAAACTACCTCACGGCTGTGACAGACTTTAATGTTCCAAAGAAGAAGAATAAGCAAAAAGTTCCAACACAAAGGTTTTTTTTTTAATAAAAGAAGCACAGTGTATCCAAGCAAACAACAACCAACAATGAACTGAGGAAACAAAGAAACTAAAAGGCGAACAGGTGTGGTGATCAAATGAATTACTAGAGTAACTAAATAGAGTAGGAAACTAGAACAAAGACAAAAGGAAATTAAACAAAACCAACTAAAAGTCCATGATAATGAAAACTAAAACCAAATACTGACAGTTCCTGACAACGGCACATCATCACAGTATCAAAACTGGATTATGATTGAAGCTGAAACATTTCACACACACAAAAACATTACGAAGAAACGCCAGCAAATGATACATTTTTATATTATTATTATTATTGATTGCATTTCTCTTTCAACATGAACAAGCAATCAGCTATTCTGTAGTTAAATCAACTAAATTCATTTGAACTAGTTTTGTGAACTCAGGTGTGTTTCAGTTTATTTGTTGTTGATGTTGTTTGTCCACATTACTGAAAACATTATGATCATAGTTTCTCTATCCTCTTTAAAAATCTCTCCAACCACATTCATAAACCCCTGTAGAACATACAGTGCTTTAAATAATACTGTGAAGTTCTGTATATACTGAATATTTTAGTCCAAAAAGGGAAGAGATTGTAACCGAATTAAAACATTTTACAAACATTGTGAAAAGCAGACTGCAACATTGAGGGATATTTTATTCAGGCTTTAAATTGTCACACATACATTTAACATACTTTTGAATGTTTAAAAAACATCTAATGAAAATGCTAGATTTCAGTAGGGACACATAATCTGTCTCCATTTAACAAACAAAAACCTAAGACAAACCAAGCTAACCAACAGACGGGCAAATCTTTGCAAACAACAGGCCATTTAAACATTTTTAACTGCCAAACATTTTACTTCAGTAGATTATGATTATTCAAAATACAATGTTTACGTAAATCACAGTAAAAGGATTTATGTTGGGACTCCATCAGCTCAAATAGGTTTACAAAGGTGGGGAGTCCCCCCACCTCAAATATGCTTGTGGGGGCCAGGCTTTTGGGTCCCCCCACCTCAAATATGCTCGCGGGGGTGGGGGCCTGTGGTTTGGTCCACCCCCACGCCAAATATGCTTACGGGGAGGGGCGGGGGCTGGTGGTTTGGGCCCCCTAACCTCAAATATGCTTACGGGGGCCGGGGGTTTGGGTCCCCCCACCTCAAATATGCTTGCGGGGGACTGGGCGTTTGGGCCCCACCATCTCAAATATGCTTGGGGGCTGGGGTTTTGGGTTCCCCCACCTCAAATATGCTGACGGGGCGGGTGGCTGATGGGCTGGGGGTTTGGGTCCCCCCACCTCAAATATGCTTGCGGGGGCTGGGGGTTTGGGCCCCCCCACCTCAAATATGCTTACAGCAGTGGGGGCCGGGGATTTGGTCCCCCCACCTCAAATATGCTCGAGGGGGCCAGTGGTTTGTCCCCCCCCCCCACCCCAAGTATGCTTACGGGGGCTTGGGCCCCCCAACCTCAAATATGCTTACGGAGGCCGGGGTTTGGGTCCCCCCACCTCAAATATGCTCGAGGGGGCCAGTGGTTTGTCCCCCCCCCCCACCACAAGTATGCTTACGGGGGCTTGGGCCCCACAACCTCAAATATGCTTACGGAGGCCGGGGTTTGGGTACCCCCACCTCAAATATGCTTGCGGGGGCCGGGCTTTTGGGGCCCCTCACCTCAAATATGCTTACGGGCAATGTTCCCTCTAAGCTGCGCGCGTGCACGGCCAAGCACTTCTTCAGTCACGATTGCGCAAAAGAAATTATATGCCATGCACATGCAAAAATGAGTTGGGAAAGCCATTTGATTGAAAAATAAAAAAACGAAATATTTGCAATGCTCAGTCAAACCGCCATAGAGTTGGTGTCGCTATAGAGTTAGAACCGGTGAATGTGGTTTACAGGTTTCATAGAAAGAGAATGATGTGCGCTGTAGAAATCAAATGTTTTAATGCTATAATAGCTCAACACGAGAGTCAACGCAACGAAATGGTGGATGATGAGCACAGAACAGTAACAAAACACTGAGACACTTACAACATGTCTACACAAGACACAAGCGGTGTGATGCGACACAATACTATAGAATCCATTATAATCAATGATGTGGTCTACACTGGATGCCGCGCCGCGACACGAAAAATCCCCGACAATAAACTGACGGCTCGTTCTTCTATTTATGACATACTGACACAAAGTTAAAATGATTTGCGACGCGACAACTGTCGTGTCTGGTGTAGACATGGTGTTACATTTACACACAAGTGTAGAAGTGTGCTAACTCTACTACAGTACATAGGGATGTTTATATAACTAACGTTAAATAAGAATTCACGTTCACATTTTCTTAAAATATTTAGCTTACAGATCTAAGTTTAAATTCTTCGGTTTGTTTTTACATTATATTATATTGTATCATATTATAAAACCTAATAAATAATTCATGAAAAAGGGGAATTCATGACCAATATCTCCTTCATTTTTTCATATTACATTATATTATATTATTATAAATAATTTAACTGTTCTGTGTGTTTTAAATAATTTTAATAGTATTTCTTGCTAACAGCACTGTAAAAAAAAAATTCTCAGGTAACCTAAAATGTGCATGATTTAGTTACATCAAGGGTCAAATCAAGTGTAAATAGCACATTAAAAGTTACACACTTTTTTTTGTGCGCGCTGTACAGGTCTGATATAAAGAATGTGTTTGCTAAGGTGGCCAAAATGTCCACCCAACAGAGAAAAGCTTTGCTCAGCAAGAAAAAAAATTATAGGGAACTTTGCTTACGGGGGGCGGTGGTTTGAGTCCACCCGCATCAAATATGCTTACAGGGGTGGGGCTGGTAGTTTGGGCCCCCTCACCGCAAATATGCTTGCGGGGGCCAGGTTTTTGGGGCCCCTCACCTTAAATATGCTTGCGGGGGCTGGGGTTTTGGGCCCACCCCAATTATGCTTACAGGCCGGGAGTTTCGGTCCCCCCACCTCAAATATGCTTACGGGCAATGTTCCCTCTAAGCTGCGCACTTCTTCAGTCACAACTGCTTTTGGGCCCACCCCAATTATGCTTACAGGCCGGGAGTTTCGGTCCCCCCAGCTCAAATATGCTTACGGGGTCTGGAGGTTTGGGCCCTCCCACCTCAAATATGCTTATGGCGGCGGTGGTTTGGGTCCCACTACCTCAAATTTGCTTATGGGGTCGGGGTTTGGGTCCCCCCACTTCAAATATGCTTACGGGGGCGGGGACTGGTGGTTTGGGCCCCTCACCTCAAATATGCTTGTGGGTGCCGGGGATTTGGGTCCCCCCCACCTCAAATATACTTGTGGGGGCTGGGGTTTTGGGTCCCCCCACCTCAATTATGCTTACGGGGCGGGAGTTTCGGTCCCCCCACCTCAAATATGCTTACAGGGACCGGAGGTTTGGGCCCTCCCACCTCAAATATGCTTACGGCGGCGGTGGTTTGGGCCCCCCACCTCAAATATGCTTGTGGGGGCCAGGGGTTTGAGTCCCACTACCTCAAATATGCTTACGGGGGCCGGGGTTTAGGTCCACCCACCTCAAATATGCTTGCAGGGGCAGGTGTTTTGGGGCCCCTCACCTCAAATATGCTTACGGGGGGCGGGGGTTTGGGTCCCCCCACCTCAAATATGCTTGCAGGGGCAGGCGTTTTGGGCCCCACCACCTCAAATATGCTTGGGGGGGCCGGGCTTTTGGGGCCCCTCACCTCAAATATGCTTACGGGGGCGGGGACTGGTGGTTTGGGTCCCCCCACCTCAAATATGCTTATGGGGGCTGATGTTTTGGGCCCCACCACCTCAAATATGCTTCGTGGGGCCGGGCTTTTAGGGCCCCTCAACTCAAATATGCTTACAGGTGTTCGGGGTTTGGGTCCCCCCACCTCAAATATGCTTGTGGGGGCTGGGGGTTTGGGCCCCCTCACCTCAAATATGCTTGTGGGGGCTGGGGGTTTGGGCCCCCTCACCTCAAATATGCTTGCGGGGGCTGGGGGCTTGGCCCCCCCCACCTTAAATATGCTTGCAGGGGGTGGGGGTTTGGGCCCCACCATTTCAAATATGCTTGCAGGGGTGGGGGCCGGTGGTTTTGTCCCCCCCACCCCATATATGCTTACAGGGGCGGGGGCTGGGGTTTTGGGTCCCCCCACCTCAAATATGCTTACAGGGGCCGGTGGTTTGGGTCCCCCCACGTCAAATATACTTGCAGAGGCTGAAGGTTTGGGCCCCTCCATCTCAAATATGCTTGCGGGGGCCAGGGGTTTGGGTCCCTTCACCTCAAATATGCTTCCGGGGGCCGGGGGTTTGGGTCCCCTCACCTCAAATATGCTTGCGGTGGCCGGGGGTTTGGGTCCCCTCATCTCAAATATGCTTGCGGGGGCCGGTGGTTTGGTCCCCCTCACCTCAAATATGCTTGCGGGGGCTGGTGGTTTGGTTCCACCCACCCCAAATATGCTTGCAGGGGTCGTGGGTTTGGGCCCCCTCACCTCAAATATACTTGTGGGGGCTGAGGGATTGGGCCCCACCATCTCAAATATGCTTGCAGAGGCTGGGGGTTTGGGTCCCACTATCTCAAATATGCTTACAGGGACAGTGGCCGTTAGTTTGGTCCCCCCCACCCCAAATATGCTTGCGGGGGCCGTGTCCGGGGGTTTGGGTCCCCCCACCTCAAATATGCTTACGGGAGCTGGGGGTTTGGGCCCCCCCACCTCAAATATGGTTGTGGGGGCCGGGGGTTTGGGCCCCCGTTCTGCTGAATTTGATACAGTGTCATGATTTTTGTGTTCATCCACCAAACACAGCATACAGATACAGCGCTGGTCAGTACGGCAGTACATTTTCAGCATTTTGTTATGTCGAGGGCAGATCATCTCCTGGAGGCATCTATTGGCATCAATCAGATTATGTTTTTTACCTCTGAAGAGATTCTCATGCTGTTCAAGATGATTTTGACAGTAAGAGCTTCGACACTCCAGACATGATTTCCCTGCTCTCTGTTTAATTTCAGTGCAGGAGTCGCACTGAACATCTTCAGATCCAGCGTGATGAACTGCAGGACCAGCAGCTTGGAGTCTAGTCTTCTTCAGTTCCTCCACCATTTCAGCAAACACCACATTTTTTCCTAAAACTGGTCTTGTTGTGAAAATTTGTTTGCATAAAGGGCATCTGTAGATTCCCTTCTGATCGTCCTGATTCCAGTAGTTTGTAATGCAGATCATACAGTAACTGTGTCCACAGGGAATCGTCACTGGATCCTTCAGTAGATCCAGACACACTGAACAGCTGAACTGGTCCAGATCCACTGAAATATTGGCTTCTGCCATTTCACTGTATGAGCACACAGACAGAGAGAGAACACAACAGTTTATTAAATGCACTATTCGTGTTCCTTTGGTTTAGTCATTGGGTGGGATTATAGTGGGTCTCACATGTCTGACCAATTGTTATTTTGACTTGATTGAAATGAGCAAGTGGCGTGTATTTATTCAATTCATGCTTTCAGTTGTAGTACATTCATTTGCTTTGGTATGTAACATACAGGTTGATTTCGCTCTTAAATCAGCAAATTAGCCTCTTCAATCAAGATGAATGTGAAAAGAAATGTGATAATTATTCTGTTTATGACCATTTTAATTAATACAATATTTTGTATTAACAATAACTAACAATTTTTGGTTCCCAGAACATTCTCGGAACGTTAGTTTTTGGTTCCCAGAACATTATATTTTATGGGATTTGGTTTTGGGGATTTGGAATTTTATTGTTTTTAAGTGAAGTGACATGTGGCCAAGTATGGTGACCCATACTCGGAATTAGTGCTCTGCATTTACCCATCCAAAGTGCACACACACAGCAGTGAACACACACAAACCGTGAACACACACCCGGAGCAGTGGGCAGCCCGGGGAGCAGTCGGGGTTTCGGTGCCTTGCTCAAGGGCACTTAAGTCGTGGTATTGAAGGTGGGAGAGAGTGCTGTACATTCACTCCCCCCACCTACAATCCCTGCCGGTACGAGACTCGAACCCACAGCCTTTGGGTTAGACCCACGACTTCCCAGAATGTTATTCTAACATTAATCTAATGTTCCCATAACGTTATTATAACGTTCCCCTAACCTCTTTACTCCGATATGATCATCCAGCACACTCGTGACCCAGTATAGTATAAGCGGCTTGGAAATTATCTGTATGGAAGCCTAATCAGTATTATAAAAACCACATCTTGTTTTTATTTATTGTTTAAGTAATACAAATAATCTGAGCACATCAACCATCATATGTAAAATTAAATAAGATTAAATCTGTCCATTAATATGCACGGAGTACCCAGATTTTAAATTTCTTTAGCACCAAATAAAAATTACTTCAGCACAATATACGGTTCATAAAATATGACATTTATTCACAGATATATATATATATAAAAAGAATAAAAAATTACTTGACTTAAAGTAGGATATCAGTACATTCATTTCTTACCACTGAAGTGTACAGTTCGCTTAACATCATGTTCTCTTCAGTTAGGCATTTTAAATCCCTCCGAAATCATATTTACTCTCATAAATATATTAATTTTAAGTAATCATTCAATAAAGAGATCGAGCGAGTCAGTCAGCCAGTAAAACGAAAAATGACCGTAAATTTGTTTTATTCTGCAAGTGCGTGGCTCTCTGTGGAAGACAGGTGCTGAAGAAGCGCGTGCAGACCAGAGGCGCGCAGTAAATGAAGATGAAACAAACCCACAAATTTATGATTTCTGTTATCACTCTATGGTTAACCCTGGCTTAATATTATAATTTAAATCGCGCTTTGATTGATCTAATTTCTGTATTTTAATAAATGCTGCATTAAATGAATTGCAGGGCTCTGTATAGGTCATTACACATTAAAGAGGTCATATGATGCTGCTAAAAAGAACATTATTTTGTATATTTGGTGTAATGAAATGTGTTTATGCGGTTTAAGGTTAAAAAAACATTATTTTCCTGTACATTATTGTTTCTCCTCTATGCCCCGTCTTTCTGAAACGCATCGATTTTTACAAAGCTCATCGGTCTGAAAAGCGAGGTGTGCTCTGATTGGCCAGCTAACCAGTGCGTTGTGATGCCGTGTCCTGGCCGGAGCGACGAGTCAAAACCAATAAAACCCATAACAAACGAGGCATTTGTTCCAGTGGGGACATAATTACGGATTATAATGACTTGTACTATCTTTTTACGCGTTGCCTCTCGCCGCGTAAACATAAAACCTGCATTTGTGATCGGAGAAATGACAAACAACAAGCGCTACTCTACACTGCCCGAAACTTGCGTTTGAATCGTCAGTGGCAAATTCTTTAAATGTGAATATATATTTACAGGCTCCGAGTTATGGGATTACAATTCTGCCACAATTCTGTGCGTGAAAGATCATATTTTGAGTGCGCAAAAGTGTGTTTTGCACGCGCTCAAACTGAGTTTTGTGGAGAAAATGTTTGTCTCGCAAAGAAGAAAATATTTAGAGCGCATGAAAATCAATTTTGCATTTAAAATAAGTTTTTGGACGTGTGCAGACCTTCTCTTTTGCGCGTGCAACGTTTCAGCTTGCTCGCCTGATGCCCCTCCCTCTGTGCTCGCTAAATGCCAACAGCTCACGTGCTCAACACAACCCAGCAATTGCAAAGTGTATGCATAACCATTGGACAGCAAAATGCTCAGTGGGGCAGCAGGGTCAGTCAAAAACATGTGGAGAAGAAAAGATGTATGTTAACTGCAAAAGAATTAGGAATTAAGGTGAAGAATTAGGTGTGAAATCACCAGGAACCATTTAGTCTCCAGCGCCACCATTTTCCAGAACTGCAACCTACCTGGAGTCTCCAGAAGTACAAGCTGTCAGGTTCTCAGAGACGTATAGAATCCTAAGAAATGATCCCTACTTAATAAGAATAACATACTGAAGTGTAGTAAAATGCTTGAAAACTGATTTATATATATATATATATATATATATATATATATATATATATATAGAAACGTTGCACGCGCAAAAGAGAAGGTCTGCACACATCCAAAAACTTATTTTAAATGCAAAATTGATTTCCGTGCGCTCTAAAGACTTTTTTCTTTGTGAAACGAACATTTTCTCCACAAAACTCAAAATATTATCGTTCGCGCACAGAATTGTGGCAGAATTGTAATCCCATATTGAGTCAGCATTATTTGTCAGAAAACCGGCACCGTAGGCTACTCTCCCAGGAAACAGTCCTCGTCCTCCGTAAAATGCGTTGCACACACACAAATATATGGGTTAAACTGTTCTGGAACAGTGTTGTAAATACAACTTAACCACTGATTCTAGTTGTGTCCTCTTTTGGAAGACCAAACAAAGTAGTTTCACTTTCACAACGAAACACAGTGCCTTCACAACATGGCAGCGGCGCAACAACACTACAGCGAGAATAAAAGTTACGCCTTCTTTCTTTGCGTGAACATTTGGGCGGCGTTATGCAAATCTTCCCACATAGTGACGTAGACATGCGTTAGAACGAGCCGTTTTAGGTAGGTGTGGCTGACTCTTAACTTTTATAAAGAATATCTCTTTGGATTTGAGACTTTAGTCTTTGCAACTTTACAGATCTTCTTTATGCACCAAGAGCTTGTAACACTCCAAAGAGAAAGGAACAATTGAAATGGCATCATATGACCCCTTTAACATCTGCGACGTTTTCATTGGAAAGATAGTTTTACAGGGTTATAAAAATAACCTGAGAATAACCATCAGGGAACGTTCTGTATTATTTTTAGGTTATTTAAAAATAACCACCCTGAAACATTCTGGGAACGTTATTTTATGGTTGCAAAAAATAACCTAAAAATAACCATTAGGGAACGCTCTCTATAAGTTATTTTTAGGTTATTTAAAAATAAACACAATGCAACGCTCTGAGAACTTTATTTTATGGTTACAAAAAATATAACCTAAAAAGAACGTTCCCCAAACGTTAGCATTTGGGTCCCAAACAATGGGAACCAAAAACGAACGTTAGGGGAGCGTTCTGTGTTTGCTGGGTACATGGCTGCTTTAGTTTTAGTTCTACTTACTAAAGTAAAGTTCTATAAAAACAACTGATGGATATTTCATAAAAGTTCAGCTGTTATGCATCAATATCCAATGATATCCAGTATTCTTTTAAGCATACGTATAGTTTAAAATACTTAAAACTGCCGCGTTGTGATGAGAGGCTGATAAATATTATTCCAAGGTCCTGTAAATCTAAGAAAACTCAACGATCCCTTTGGAAAAACCGCGCATGCGCGTGAGGTCTGAGCAGAAACGCAGCTGGTTTGTGACGTAAAAATAATATGCATTAGTCTACAACGTAATGCTAAAGACAAATTGTCAAACGCAACATTTATTGAGTAATTACATTATATATTATAAGAAATACAACCCATTTTATGCTCCGTTTAGGTGGATTCGGCAAAACCGAAACTACAACAAACATCGAGACTCTAAAAGTCATAAAAAGCTAAAGCTTGACTAAATTCTCAAGAAAGAGCAAAATACACTCACAAAATCACAGCTGTGAACAAGTGACTCGTCAGACTGAACGCACCTGTATTTGGAGAGATTTAGCAGCGCGCTCTGCGTCTTAGTTTTCTGCTTGCATGTCCGATGTTGTGCAATACTCAGTTCCTGAAATATTTGGTTCCAATGGGTGGCGCGTGAGTGAACATTCATGAGTTTCTAGATTGTGGGCTTGTCTTTGAGACAACGCGCAAACGAATGGAGCAGAGAATAGTAGTGCACGCTCAATCGCGACTTGTTTAATGGATTCGTAAAGGTAATGTTTCAGTGTTAATTATAAACTGCAACTGTTCACATTTTTAAAACAATTCATATTTATGTAATATGATAAATCGGCTGATCTGTTTTGCCTGATTGATTACAGCCATTCAAGGTAACGTAAGGATACAGCAGAGTATGGCAAGCCGTTTTGACTTTTATTCATTCTCAGGATATG